TTTATTTATTTATTTATTTATTTATTTATTTATTTATTTATTTATTTATGAGAGAGAGTGAGCCAGCAGGGGGGAGGAGCTGAGGGGGAGAGAGAGGGAGAGGGAAGTGGGATTTGATCTCATGAACCTGAGACCATGACCTGAGCCGAAATCAAGAGTTAGATGTTTCACCGACTGAGCCACCCAGGCGCCCCCTAATAATTGTTTTTAAACTGTTGTTTAAGGGCGCCTGGGGCTCAGTCGTTAAGCATCTGCCTTTGGCTCAGGTCATGATTCCAGGCTCCTGGGATCAAGCCCCGCGTCGGACTCCCTGCTTCTCCCTCTCCATCTGCCGGCCGCTCCCTCTACTTGTGCTTATTCTCTCACTGTCAAATAAATAAAATCTTAAAAAAAAAAACCAACCCCAACCCCCCCAAAAACTGTTATTTATTACACTTTGACTATATGTATATTCTGTATATAAAACACCTAGAATAGTCTCTGGCATTAGTAGCTGCTCAATAAAAGGTACAATTAAAACAGCTCTTTAGCAAGCAGTATAGGAAGCCGTTCTACAGCCTGGAGAAGCAAGCTGGAAGGAACAAACTAGATTGGAATCATTCATAAATATGTTGATCCCATATGTAAGTGCTGATGATGTTTCTCTTTCTCTCTCTTATAGCTTTTCTCGGATATTACAGGAAACTGTGAAAGAACTAGCACCTCGATGTGATGTGACGCTCATGCTGTCCGAAGATGGGAGTGGAAAAGGAGCCGCTCTGATCACTGCTGTGGCCAAGAGGTTACAGCAGGCCCAGAAGGAGGACTAGGAACCCCCTCGGGCTTGGGCCCCATGTGCCTTGGATACTGGCTTGCCTTTCCTCTGGCAGATGTGTTGGTCAGGGACCAGAGGCAGGCTTCTAGCTGACTTCACATTCTGGATGGCCAAAAGAGAACCCCGGGTTCTCGGGTACTCCTAGCATTTGGTTACTCAGTGTTTTCAGGGGCATTAAATGATATTTCTGATTCGCATATTTGGGCCAAAGATGGGCCAACTTGTAAAATCAAAGCATTTGGGCCTGAGGTCCCCTTTTAGCAAATTTTCAGTTGAGGCCGGAGATGCTATTTCTCTATGGCTTTGGGTCCTGTGGCTGTTGCCCATGTGGCCTGGCTGGCTGGCTGGCTCCCCACTGGGGAGCTTCAGCCATTGATTGTAGTAGATTGGGTCCTCACCTGTGGATGCACATTTGAGAAGGATAGGGATTCATGTAATAAACTGGAGATCTAATCTAACTTGTCCTTAACTCATCATGCTGACCTGGAACATGGAAAGAGAATAAAGACTTGGGAGTATCAGCCCCAGGATGAAGAAGGGTTGGTTGCCAGGTGGCCCTGCAGAAATCCTTTCATGCTTAAAGTGAGTTATGTTAGCGCCTGTAGGATTTTGTTTCTCAATATTGCATGTGTGATGGGGAGGGGTGCCATTTGGGGCACCTGTTTTCATTTTACATGTGGTTTGTGTTCCTACTGTGGGTAGTTGTTTTAAGGACTGTTAAGTATATGAAATCCAGTAAATGAATAAAAAATATTTGATTTCCTAAGAATCTTTGCATGAGGTATCAATATTTCATTTGGGAGGCTCACTTGCTAACTTCATGCTCTGCTGGTGGAATAAGGGACACTGAAGTTTCTGAGAGCATCCCTCTAGCCCAGACTTCTTCCCAACAGGGGGAAATATATGGAATATCTTCTATAATACCTTTAACAGTTTATCCAAATCTCATTTGAACGAATACTTCTCGTGCCTGGGCATTTACCACATGATCCTACAGCCCTTGCTTTTGAACAGCTAAAGTTGGCTGGAGGTCCTTTTGATTTCCAAGCTGACTTCTACCTCACTGGAACTCAGCCGTCCCCACCAGTCCCATTAGTCTGCATTCTAGCCTCCAGAACTAAGTGGAGTTGGCCTGTCCCTGACCATTTCCCCGCTGGATGTCCTTGCTTTTTCTCAACCTCCCCACCACCCATTAATCCGAACCACCTGTGACTTCCTACGTCATCACAGAGGTGCCCGTATGTGTTTCTCATCTAGCCTAGGAGACTGAAAGCTCTTTGTTAAATACATTTTTGTACTGCTCCAGTGAACCCAGGAAGATGCTGTTCTTATTAAACACTTACTAGATGGAGGCATGATTGAAAAATGAAGTGTTCCAAGAAAATTTCTTTGGAAAATGTAGAGGCCATTATCATGGGCTACAGACTGAAGAGAATAATATCCCAGATCATCCAGGCTGATTTTATTTTGATTTATGTACTTAATTCCTGGTGATAATTGTCACCATTTGTTGAAGCAGGATGTTCAGACAGACAGAATGGAGGAGGCTGAAGGAGGGTTAGAGAGGCCAGCTAGGGCTGGGGACAGATGAGGGAGCTGATGTTCCCTAGGAAATATTTTTTCATACATTCAGTAAACATGTAGAGAGATACTTCTGTGGGTGGGGCCTAGATTTACCAAAATGAATTTTTTTTTTTAATTTTAAGGTTATACCTCTCTGGGGAGATGTTGTATGGATTTATTGAATTTATCTTTTTATATTTTGAAGTTATACTTTCGGGAAATCTTCCACCTTATCTGATTTTGTCTTCATCAACCCCAAACCTGTTGCCCTTGTTATCTCTCCCCAGTTCTCTGTTTCCTTGGTAAGACACACCCAGCCCCCCAGCCCCTTTTCCTCCTGCTTCTGATGGGAGTCTCTGCCTCCGCCCTCCCACCTGGATGGGTGAGCTGGCCCAGAGATGCAGGTACTTGGACCATTACATTGTCCCATACCTGGTCCCTCACCACATATTTGGCAGGTTTGAGGAGCTCATCCAGCTCTGGGCTCTTACCAGAAAAAGAACCCCCAAGGTATCTAGGCAACCTTGCACATTCTGACTAATTAAGAGCATCATAGAATCTTTGAATCAGAACGGAACTGCTGAGAGGGCACACATTCATCTTGCTGTCTTTGGACAGGCCAGCCCCTGAAACACCAGGGGCAATGGAAGGCTAACTTCTCCTCAAAGTTTACTAGGGAAGACCAGCAGCCACACCAACAAGGTAAATCATCCTCATGTGGACCCGACTTTTCCTCTTAGGAGGGGCATCTTAGTCTACATTTCTACCCTGTGGTTAGTTTCTCCCAGTAACCTTTTGGCTAAAAAGAGCTGATAGATTTAAGAACTAGGTTTTCCCCATGACTCTGACTCTCCAGAAGAAGTGACCTTATTCCCATTTGTCTGTCTTCAGAAATCTTGTGTACTCTTCTTCCCATTAGCTGGAATGGGGGCTCTGTGAGAATAAGGACTTGGATCTCATCTTTCCTATTTTCCCCAAAGCCTACCACAGTGACTGGCATTGAATAGCCATTAGATAATTCTCTAAATGGATGAATGAATGAATGAATGAATGAATGTTCAAACAAGTATGTGAATGAATTTATTGCTTTCCCTTGAATCTCTTCATTCTTTAGCCTCCCCCAATGGGACCTGAGCCTTATACACATGAGATACTCTATAAATGATCGTTCAGCGAATGCCAAGCCCTGTTCTAGGCACCGAGGACCCAAAGGAATAGAAGATAGCACTCCTGCTTTATTAGAATTCACATGCTAGCAAGGAAGGAAAGACATATAAATACCTGCAATACAATATGGTAAACAGGAACAAGAGGAGAACACAATTCCTGACCACGTGCTTCGTCCTTTAGATCAGGAACTCTCAGCCTGTGTGGGAGTATATATGTGTATGCGTGTGTGTACATGTGCATCATAAACCCCTTTGGCAATCATGCAGAGCCTACAGATCCTTTCTCATAATGCTTCTTTTTTTAAAGATTTATTTATTAGAGAGAAAGAGAGTGTGAGCATGGTGGGGGGAGGGGCAGAGGGCGAGGGAGAGAGAATCTTTTTTTTTAAAAAAAGATCTTATTTATTCATTTGAGAGAGACAGAGAGAGAACAAGCAGGGGGAGAGGCAGAGGGAGAAGCAGACTCCCCACCGAGCTAGGAACCCAAAGTGGGACGCAATCCCAGGACCCCAGGATCATGACCTGCACCAAAGGCAGATGCCGAACCATCTGAGCCACCCAGGTGTCCCTGGGAGAGAGTCTTAAGCAGACTCTGTGCTGAGCGTGGAGCCTGATGTGGGGCTCAATCTCATGACCCAGAGATCACGACCTGAGCCAAAATTGAGAGTCGGCTGCGCAACCAACTCTGCCACCCAGGCACCCCACCTAATGCTTCTAAATGCCTAAAATATGTAGGGGTACAAGGGAAACCAATGGTATTGAATTACAATTATTAGAATAAAGTAACATATGTGCTTATTTTTTATTGCACTGTAATGAGATCCAGCAGGAACCTGATAACAACCATAATTCTGAAATCCTGATGAGTATAAACAGTATCTTGAGACATTTGCAACCACAGTGCAGACATGAAAATGTCCATGGTTTCTCCTGGAGACAGAGTCCCAGGGGCTGCTGCCAGTACTGTGGTTTGTTGTCTGCATCCAAAATGGAAGGAAATGCCAAATTTCAATTAGAGGTGATTGAAAATAAGTCCCAAAGAAGCTTAGGGACTCCCCATTTTGGGGGTCTTTCCTGTGGGGGCTTAGGTTAATAATCTCTGACTGAAATGTCCTGCTAAACCTGGCACTTAATTAGGGAAAGCATCTTAGATGGCAGAGAGGCAGTGTGGTTTGGACTCAGAAGGAATCAGGCATGCTATTCAACCTTTCTGAGCTGCAATTTCCTCACATATAACAGCTAACAAGGTTATGCCAACTATACAAGCTAAATACGTGGACACTGGGATAAGCTATGAGCCACTTGTACACATGTGAGGTAGTTGTGTTATGGTGGTTGCTATATTGTTAGGGGGCCTGTCTGATTGGTGTGATCACCTTGAACATCAACCTAAAAGTCCTTCCAAGCTGATTGCCCAGGTATGCAGATGGGTAAAGAATGGCAATTGAGAGAAATGCGTTTCTCACAACCCCTTCCTTCCACCTCCACTGTCTTGATATATTCCCTCTTGTACTATTTCACAGTTGAAACTCCTCGCGAACCATATTTTGTTAGAGGAAGGATGGGACTTGGGCCAAGTCAGGGATGATAGAGGGATCTGGTAGCTCATATTTGGGGTGAACTAAGAGGGTCAATTAGAGTAGAAGAGTTGAATTCCTTTCTGTTCCAGCCAGGGAAAGAATGATGCTGGTGAGAAAATGAAATCTTTCAGTTTTGTTTTGTCTTAATATATAAGAAAGAAAGAGAGATAGCAAGAAAGGTAGGTTATTGATAATTTAGGGAATCAGAATGGTTTGGGGGATTGACCTAAAAAGCAGGGATGCATTAACAGCACAGGGACAATTCCAGGGAGGGCATTTACATCACTGTCTGTATGTGACCCAGTTCCTGCCGAGTCACCTCTGTGACAGTCTAGAGTAGCCTTTCACAAAGTCAGCCAGTCTGGAGTCATTCTTTCCTCTAATACTCAAATAAAATGGTTCATATCCCACATGCTGCAGAGAGGACTGTCTCCTGCACTCACATTTCAACACACCTGAATGAAATGCTTACATCTTCCAGTTACTCCTCTTATTCCTGCCTCCAGTAAACTGCTTCCACTCATCTTAGTCGATGTCACAATTCCTGCAGGGGTTGCCATTCTCTCTCTCTCTGTTTTGTCTGATGTACAGAACTGTCCCTTCCTCTTGGATTCCCCAAACACCATTAACTCAAGGCTAGTGTTTGGAACAGACTGAACTAAAGGCTTGGAGACCATGGAACAGGGACTACTTCACAGAATAGGAAACAACTTAAATATGAATATTAGATACCAAATTTCTATGACTGTCTCAAAAAAGAAGAAGAAGGTGGTAGCGGGAGGGGAAGAATGAAGCGGGGGAAATCGGAGGGGTAGACGAACCATGAGAGACGATGGACTCTGAAAAACAAACTGAGGG